ACTCACTTTATATTATTTCTGATTACAAATATTTGCACTGTAAAAATTATAAACAAAATAAATAGTATTTTTCAATTCACCTCATCCAAGTACTATAGTGCAATCTCTTTATCGTCAAGGTGCAATTTACAACTGTAGATTATTTTTTTTACATAACTGCACTCAAACACAAAACAATGTAAAACTTTAGAGCCTACAAGTCCACTCAGTCCCACTTTTTGTTCAGCCAATCACTAAAAGAAACAAGTTTGTTTACATTGACAGGAGATAATGCTGCCCGCTTCTTGTTTCTAATGTCACTTGAAAGAGAGAAAGGCATGTGTATGGTACTTTTGTATCCAGCATTGCAAGGTATTTACATGCCAGATACGCTAAATATTTGTATATCCCTTCATGCATCAGTCACCATTCCAGATGACATGCTTCCATGCTGATGATGCTCGTTAAAAAATAATGTGTTAATTAAATTTGTGACTGAACTCCTTGGGGGAGAATTGTATGCCTCCTGCTCTGTTTTACCCACAATTTGCCATATATTTCATGTTAGAGCAGTCTCGGATGATGACCCAACACATGATGTTCGTTTTAAGAACATGTTCACTGCAGATTTGACAAAATGCAAAAAAAAGTTACCAATGTGAAATTTCTAAAGAAAGCTACAGCACTTGACCAAGGTTTAAGAATCTGAAGTGCCTTCCAAAATCTGAGAGGGACAAGATGTGGAACATGCTTTCAGAAGTCTTAAAAAAGCAACACTCTGATGTGGAAACTACAGAACCCAAACCACCAAAAAAGAAAATCAACCTTCTGCTGGTGGCATCTGACTCAGATGATGAAAATGAACATGCGTTGTTCTGCACTGCATTGGATCGTTATTGAGCAGAACCTGTCATCAGCTTGGACTCGTGTCCTCTGGAATAGTGGTTGAAGCAGGAAGGGACATATGAATATTAAGCGCCTCTGTAATGTAAATATCTTGCAACGACGGCTACAACAGTGCTATGCGAATGCCTGTTCTCACTGTCAGGTGACATTGTGAATAAGAAGCTGGCAGCATTATCTCCTGAAAATGTAAACAAACGTGTTTTGAGCGATTGGCTGAACAAGAAGTAGGAAGGAGTGGACTTGTAGGCTCTAAAGTTTTACATTGTTTTATTTTTGAATGTGGGTTTTTGTTTTTACATAAATCTGCATTTGTAAGTTCAACTTCCATGATAAAGAGATTGCACTAAAGTACTTGTATTAGGTGAATTGAAAAATACTGTTTCTTTTGCTTTTTACAGTTCAAATATTTGGAATAAAAAATAAATATACAGTGAGCACTGTACACTTTCTAATCTCTGTAATTGAAATCAATATATTTGAAAATGTAAAACACCCAAAACATATGAATAAATGGTATTTTTTTATTCTTCAGCAGCACAATTAATCGTGATTCACTGTTTAAAAAAATTAATCATGATTAATTGCACGATTAAATCGCTTGACAGCCCTATGAAAAACCCAAATTTATTTGCGGAACATGAAAAATATTCATGGTCATTCATATTTTATGGGGAAAGGATGAATTTCCAAGCAGCTCTAGTGTGTATATAGTGGCTTCTTTATTTTAAAAAGTCTTTTAAAAATGTGCTGTCTCGAATCAGAAAACAATAGTAAGAAAGGAAGTCCATATGCAACCTGTTTTAACCACGACTGCCATGGATAGTTGCTCTGGGCTAGATCCCCGAAGGGACTTGGGCATTGCAAGGCCTGACTCATAGGTGCCTTGCCATCCAATGGAATCCTCAGCCCCGAGTCACGTGCCCAGCTCCCCATATAATGCATGGGGAGAGTTAGGCATCAGAAAGCTGAAGAGGGAACCACCTAAACTTGCCAGCAGTGACATGCCAAGGAAGGGAGTTAGGGCCTAGATACACAAGTTATTTAGATACCAAACTGCCATTGATCTAAGCCTCAGGCCCCTGACACACATGTCAGAGGTAGGCACCTCTCTCTGCTCAGGCATCTCAGTCATGAACCCATTCCTGGAGCTAGACATGTAAGCCAGGTCAGCTCTCTCATCTTCCCATTTTACCCATAACCCAGCGGTTAAATCACTCAACTGGGAGGTGGGAAAATCCATGTTCAATCCCCACTCTGTCTGATTTGGAGCAAGGACATGAACACAGGGGAGTGCCCTAGTTACTATAGCCTATAGGGTATGATGGGGTGGGTCTCTCCTGCAGGAAATGTTCCACTTTGTACAAATAATCAGTCACTGAATCATTAAAAAAAGCTAAAGATTGATTCTAGCTGGTGGCCTGGGCACTTGCCTGGGATGTGGGAGAATCAAATCCCTGCTTCAATAAATATGTAACTATTTATACATTATGTATTTATAAAGAGGCAATTAGGTAGCTACATACATTTGTGGATCTAACCCTCTGTCACTTAGGAAATGCATCAAAGTTGCTGTTATAATGTGACCTTGTTAAATCCTAATCTATAACTGTGCAATTTTCCTTCATTTAAAGGAATCTGTGGTGGGATTTTTTTTCATTGTTTGTGGTTGTACATGACTATTTTACAAGATCATTCTGTTGTCCTTTTTGCTGGTATATTATTTACATTAAAGTTCCACCGTAAAAGTAAACAAGTAACAGATATTTTAACTATGTCCCTATATCATGCACTGTATATTACTGCATTGAGATCATTTTTCATGCCCACACCAACTGCAGGGTAACTACAGCACTTAAGGGCCCATTTCTGTTCCCATTGTCAGTGGAAGCTTCACAGTTGATTTCAGCAGGATAGAATTAGGCCCTAAGTGTCTGGGACTTTATTGTAGACACATGGATCCAATTTGCCTTTCTTTCCCTTTATTTGTAAAATAAATTGGTACCAAGCCTACTTTTCTCTAATGTTCTGGTACCTCCTGTCATGCTGTCTGGAGTGGCTCACCACTGTAAGTGACTATCTCAGGGCAGACTCCAAAAACAAGGGCAGACACCCAAACTGCTGGTGTGTTCTAGAATTAGATTTCACCAAGCCAATGAACTCCTAGATCACTATGCAATCTCACCATGGAGTCACAGACAGTCCCCTTAGGCTCTACAGCCTAACTTTCCACCCAGACAAACTGAAAATTGTGATATGATGTCACTTAATAATATCACACTACATCAAGTTTCTCCGACTCCCAAGGGACCAGTCAGTCACCCCAGAACTTACTTCAAAGATAACGCTGGCAGCCAGTTCTGTAGTAAACTACTAAAGGTTTATTAGCGAAGAAAAAAAATGCGGGTTATTGAGAGGCTATAGCAGGTAAAATATAATAACAGGTAAATAATCAGTTTGTAACTCCAAATGTTGGCAGCGATGTAATAAATTGTCAGTTTCCCAGAAGTCTTTTACAGGGTGTCATGAGGTACTCCATTCATTGCTGATCTGGCATCTCCTCCTGGTAATTCTGGGGATTAGCTTTCGAGGCCAATGCCCCATCCACAGTTTGCACATCATCTGACTCTGGTCTGCAGCTCCTCTTGCTCCAGGACCCGCAGCGTTCTCTTTGTGACTTAGCCCTACAGCTAGGTCACTCAGTGTTCCCCCTTATGGGATTCAGTCCATCAACAGCCTAGGCAGTCTTCCCATTCACTGCCCTGGTGCTACTCCCTCAGTGGCTGGTAGGGGACCCAGGCCTGCCCTGTTTTCTGGGTTCCAGTCCAGGGACAACTCAGCAGGTCTGCATTTCCTCCCTCTGCCCACACTGCTCCTTCCCTGGACTGATTTAGTTGGGGTTGTTCCTGCTTTGGGCAGGGGGTTGGACTAGATGGCCTCCTGAGGTCTCTTCCAACCCTAATCTTCTATGATTCTATGACTGCTTCCTATACTCTGGTTCCTCTCTCACTCTGGGTGTACCAGCCCCCACCTCTTCCTGCACAGGTGAGACTCTCTCTAACCAGCTGATTCTGGCCTAAAGCTCCACTGTTTGTAGCCTAATTAGCTGATTGGGCCCATCTGGCCCAGCCCAGCTTTTACAGGGCTAGTGTGGGGAGCTCATCCCTTCACATAGGGCTACCCAGAATAACTTTGGGGATCTCTGTCTTTTCGTTCAGTTATTCTTCTCTGTTAGATCCTGTATCTCTGGACTGTTTGGATTCTTTCTTTGAATCCATATTTATATCTTCTCACAGAAAACACACTGACAGTCTCTCTACCCATGTGGGCTTTTCCTTTGATGACAGAGAGTGAGGAATGCACTTAGATTTTTGACCTCTGACCTTGTGCATAATGGCCATTTGATTTGACATTAGCATTTTCTGCTAAAGTCTTAAATCCTTACCATTTCACAAAATTTATTTGATTTGTTATTTAGCAACAAATGTATTTACCATGTACATGTTTGGCATTACATTATGACAGGAATAGATAAGCGAAAACAATACCAGTAAGGTTCCACTAGTTTTCATAAAATTTAAACATCTGAATACACACCTATACATCTAACCATTACTTTGATCTACACAAGTGAAATGACCCTAAATACACTCTAGCATGACCTGGTCAGCCAGTGTCACACCCTCCCCATTCTGTAACAATTGAAAAGAATATTTGGTTTTGGGTAAATTAATTGCCTAATAATTCCTTGAACACCTTGATGCTTATCATTTAAGAGTTGTTTGAAAATATTCAAGATTTTGAGTAAGGGCTGATTCTGCTAACCCTTTGTCTCACAAATAGCTCTGACCCATGTGATGAGTCCCTTAAGGATTACTCCGATGAATAAGGAATTCAGAATTAGGCCCTTACACTCACATGCTGTTTATCAATATTGCTGTGTAAAAAGTATTCCTTGTTTCCTTACTCAGTTTCCCTTCCTTTCTGTGTTTCTTGTTAAAGACAGACTTTTAAAAGCATTTCAATATCTCAGCCATTGTAGCAGCACCATTGATTTGCATGGAAGCTGTTTAATTATCCTCCTATTGCAAATTAAAAGGTGGGATCTATCCCTGCAGGAAGCAGGCGGATCAGACTGGTGAATGGGACAGGTCGCTGTGCCGGGAGAGTGGAGATTTATTACAATGGCAGCTGGGGGACAGTCTGTGATGATTTCTGGGATCTGTCAGACTCCAATGTCGTTTGCAAACAACTGGGCTGTGGACATGCCATCAATGCAACTGTCTCTGCTCATTATGGGGAAGGATCCGGACAGATCTGGCTGGATGATGTGAACTGCACTGGGAACGAATCCGATCTCTGGACGTGTCCTTCCAGGGGCTGGGGCCAGCACAACTGCAGACACAAAGAGGACGCGGGAGTTCTCTGTTCAGGTCTGGTCCTGGAATGCTCATGTGAGCCTGGTTACCAGGGGATTTAATGGAGAGGGCAGACAATTGAGGAGAGAGCTGAGAATGATAGAGCCTCTACCTCATTTTCTCTTCTATAGGGTGCCCATACATCCAGTTTTGGCCAGGACAGTCCCTTTTTTAAGCCTGCCCTGGCCATCCCGACTGTTTTGGCAAAAATGGGCATTTGTCCCATTTGCTCTTGCCAAGTGACCATGAGTTGGCAAGAGCAAATTGGACAAATGCACAGTTTTGCGAAAGAAGTGGGATACGACACCTAACCAGGTGCGGAGGAACATGCAGGGGTGGGGTGAGTGGCAACGCCAGTCCCCTGCTGGAGGGAGGACTCAAGACAGCAGCTTTGGCTGGGCCAGCCCCGCACGGGAGGACAGCAGGGGTCTTGGTCCACCCTGTGTGTGGGTGGGAAGAAGGGGGCCTGGGGCTGGCCCAACATGGGTGGGTGGCAGGGGAGCTCAGGCTGGCCCACGTGCTGAGGGGGTAGGGGAACTTCAGGCTGTCCCTCTGCGGGCAGGAGGCAGTGTGGGCTCAGGTTGGCCCCACGTTGGAGGGAGAGAGAGGAAAGGAGGCCTTGGGGTTGGGCCCCCAGTGGGGTGTTCCGTTTTCCCTTTTAAAGAAAATATGGTCACTCTACTTTTCTATCTACCTACTGGGGTCGTGATTAGAAAGTCACCATTTCCCATATGTTCCCACCCAGGAGGATTGGAGATATCGCAGCATTTCTCTAGTTTTGGGAGGGCAGTCACTGCTGTATTGCAGGTATCTGTGTGTGTAACTGCTGGGAACCGGTGACTTTTCAGAGGTGACCATTGTATTTCTAACGGGCCTATGGTGTTCAGGAGAGTCTGATTCTTAGAGTGATTCTCTCTGACACTTGCTTCTGCAGAAGGATGCATCGTTAGAATTGCTGGGATTTCACTCTTTAAACCCCAGTTCATTTCAGAATCAGACGATTTAATTCACTTTTTGTGCATTTCCTTCTAGAATTCACAGATCTGAGGCTGGTGAGCGACAGTGACTGTGCTGGGCGACTGGAGATTTTCTACAATGGGACATGGGGCAGTGTTTGCTACAATCAGATGTCTGGAGTAACCCCAGAAATTGTCTGCAAACAGCTGAACTGTGGGGACAGAGGACAGATTGCAAAAGACTTTGCATATGGAGCAGGTTCTGGTCCCACGTGGCTGGACCATGTTGCATGCACTGAGCAGCACAGGTCCCTTTGGCAGTGCCCATCAGACATGTGGAAACAGCAGTCCTGTGATAACCGCGCAGAAGAGACCCATATTTCTTGCAGTGGTAATTCTGAAGCTGTCTGTGCACATGCATGCTCACACCCTCTACATGCCTAACTCATTAAAAGGGTGTGATAGAAATTTTGAATGTATTTACTTTTCAGTATAGAGACTTTTACATTTGCAGCAGTGGCAGACATATTTTCATTGTCCATTCTAGGAATGAGAATACAGCCCCTGGAAAACAAACATGGGACTTATCTATACAAGCTGTGTGTTACACGGTGCAATCACCTAGTGAGAGCCCACAAATGCCCACAGGCAGGGGAACTAGGGGCGAAAGGGGTGCTGCAGCACCCCCCAGGTTTTGCACGGAGTCCCAGCTGCCAGCCTGCGCTCTGCTGCTAGTACCGCACACAGGGTCCTGCTACTGGCCCCGCAAGCAGGGCTCTGCTCCCGCCCCCAGCTGTGCTCCCAGCCTCAGTCCCCTTACCCCTATCCACGTCCCCCACCCAGAGTCAGAGCTCAGTCTTGGCTCCAACTTGGGGGAGAGGGAGCATGGATGGGGTAATGGGGGCAAGGTAAAAAGTTTGGGGACCACTGGCTTTCAGCACCCCAACTGTAAAAATTGTCCCAGCGCCACTGCAAATGTCTCCAATTAGTGAGTGTCATTTGGGAATCTCTATGGCTATACTTTTGGGATGAACAATCAGAGATGGGCCCAATGTGAGTGACCAAGATGTGGGCGGTCATGCTGAGTGGTTGAAGCAGGAGTCATGCCCATTGGCTAGAGCAGGAGTGGTTCAGGACTATTTAGAAAAGCTGGACGTGCACAAGTCCATGGGGCCGGATGCGCTGCATCCGAGGGTGCTAAAGGGGTTGGCGGGTGAGATTGCAGCCCCATGAGCCATTACTTTTGAAAACTCATGGCGATCGGGGGAGATCCCAGA